GATGTATTAACCCAGCCCTTTGATGTACTAACCCAGCCCTCTGATGTACTCAATAAAAGAGGTTTCCAGACTCCGGTCTGGGCGCTCTCACCCCCCTCGAAGGAGAATCAGTTTGGTGTCTTCTTTCCCCTCACTCGTGGGAGGCCCGCTGTAACTGTGTGAATGTTACAGGGTTTTGCATATTATTTTCTTTCTTAACCCGATATTCCAAACTTATCTGGAATAGTGATCTTCAAAAAAATGTGCTATTAGCTTCAATACTATTAGGAATGGTGATAGTTGCATCTAGAAGTTGTAGTGATTTCTGGAAGATTTAATTATCTGGTTTTCAGGGGTATTTAGCTGGCACAGTTTCTACTATGTATAACATAGATAAAAGCAAAGTAAATCTATATTGTCTGTTTTTTAGGACAATCCTGAAGTTATATGCAGTGCACTCATGTTATGTCAGTCTCTTCAGAAGCACCTGGCAGAAGTAAAATGGCAAAAAGAACTTCAGTCCAACAAAATTCCAGAAATAGATTTCTCTGAGCTGGCATCTCCTTTCATGGCTAATGTGCCACTTCTTCTTTATCCTCAGGATAAACCTAAGCAAGAAACCCAGGTAAGAATTTAAAACTGCAAATGGGCTGTATGCAGAAGCTTTTATGTTTAATAGAAATATGCTTGCCGTGTTCAAGAAGTTAGGTGCACTTACTGTCAAATGGGCTATTAGTGCTGCTAGGAACATCTATAATTATTATAAATATTTTCATCCTGCTAACAGTTGAATAGGCAAATTCATGAATATCCAAACCTAAAACTATTCCTGTAAACCCATTACCTTAGTCAGAAGCAATAAAGAAGAAACTCTGTTAATGGGCAAACTTATTGATTAATCATGTATGTCTTGCACAGTTCGTTTTGGAAGAGAGGTTAACATGTTGTGCAAGCACTTATATTTAGTTTGTGCTGAGATTAGAGAGGATTGGATAAATAACATTTAGGGCTAAACTTTCCCCAGCCCCATACAAACACAGAGAGTTAATGTGTGAACATACACTGACAGCTCATGGAGTAGGTATTTACCTAATTCATTCAGCCATGTTGTCTGAAACAAGCCGTTGAAAACTGAGTGTATAATTTTTCATGTTTGCTTAGATGTGGTATATCAATAGCATGAAATTAGACTTGTCTCATTTTATAAATTTCTATCTAATATTCTTAAAGGATAGGCAGATATTCCAAGGATCCCTGGGGGGAAAAAAAACTCTGCAGCAATTTGGGCAGATTCACATAGCGAATATAGTTCTGTCATGGCTATTTCTGTTTTCTGTCTTTCTTCTTTTCCTTCTCTTGAGTTCTTCTGGCTTGACATTCCAAAACTAGAAAAGGGGTTATCTTCTCAGAATTCTGCCCCCTGCCTATGGGTGGGAGGGATATACTGTCAGATACCTTGATCCTACTGTGGAGGAAGGGCCTTTACATATGAGTTTGTTGTGATATATGAGGTACTGTTAAGGACTTAGATCTTCAATAGATATACATTTCTCAATCAGGGAGTGACAATTAAGGCAAAAATGAATTATTTGGGGAACAGGGCTCTTGAAAACACTATTCAGGCTGCAAATGGCATTAATGCAAAAACTATGACTCTTTAGTCCTTAACATCTTTGTATCATGCACTGTAATTGAACCAATTAAAGGATGGAGATAAGACCAATACTGAAACATTAGTAAAAGTCAACAGAGGTTTAAAGGATAAGCAGTTGAGGTTAAATCAGAGTATTTTGAGAGGTAGGTGGAAAACAGGCAGACATATATACATCTAAAATCCATTATTAAATATGGTAGCGCAACAAGATTTTATGCTTTTCCTCTTGTTTTAGAATTTTTAGTGGTGCTAATTCTGAGTAAAGTTTATCACTATATCCCAGTATAACCATACTAAATCTTGTTAGGTTAGAAGTTGTTGATGCAGTGATACAGGAAAAGAAATAGCACAGGTCAGAATGTTGCCTATGCCTTGGTTGGTTTAGTTTAATGCCAGTAGTATCTGAGCTACTCAATATAACTAGATTCAACTAAAATCTCACCAGCAAATTTTACAGAAGATGTTTTCTAGTGCCTGAAGGCATGGAGGTGTGTAAAATATTATTATTATTATTATTATTATTATTATTATTATTACTACTACTACTACTACTATTATTCTACTACTACTATTATTACTATTACTACTACTACTACTATTATTATTATTAAAATTTATATAGCCACCCATTTCATGTTGTGACATGATGTTATGTTAAGATGTGTTTAATACTTGCCTGCAGGGAAGTGGAAACGTGTGTCAAGACTGTATTCAGCTGGTAACAGATATTCAGGAAGCTGTGAAGACCAATTCAACCTTTGTTAGTTCTTTAATTGAGCACGCCAAGGAAGAATGTGAACGTTTGGATCCTGGCATGTCTGTTGTGGTAATTTTTACTTAGTATTATTTATTGAGTATTAGTGGGAAATACAGTACATGGTTTGGTGTTTTAAATTCTTAGTTGTTAATTTTCCAAGCTTTGTCAATTTAGAGATTAAGTTACCACCTTTAAACTAAATGAAAAATCTGGTTCTGACTAATACATGAAGTAAATCTTATAGCTTGCAGTCTGTATTAGGATAGGATTATGGGGATTGTGTAAATTTGAATCCAGGCTTGTAAGTATTACAGAATAACTTTGGATGAACTGTCACCATTTCATAGCCTAATTGTCATGAGAGAAAAGTGGGAAGCAATTATGTATGTCTCCCTCCATATTGTATAGATAAAAACTGTCTGTCTATCTATCTATCTATGGTACCATTGTTGAAGCAGTCGGTACATTTCCTTGACATAATAAGGAATAGAGTGATTACATATGGTTGGATTATGTTGCAACTTGTGTAATACTAACATCCATCTCAAATGTCTCTTTTCCCTCTTAATAGTGCAAGAGCTACATTTCTCAGTATTCTTCCCTGGCTATTCAGATGTTCCTGCACATGGTGAGATTAATATCGCCTATATTTTACTATCCCATTGTAAAAATATAATAGACGTGCCATTGGAGTTAATGTCGCAAATGTCTTAACTAAGTTTGACAGCATCAAGAGTCAGTGTGAACAGATTATTTAGTTACTTAAGGGCTAAATGTCCTGTGGTACCACAAGGCTGCATTTTCTTTATAAATGAAATTTTTCATACTGAAGATCTCTGTAGGGTTATGGCAGTGAGGACAAATGATGTTCGTACTGGGAATCGTACTGGATTGATTGCATCACAACGTTTTTCATAGGGCTTTCAGTTGTCTAAGCCTATTCAGAATAACTAAATATTGAGCAAGATTTATTTTGCAAAATAAGAACAATTCTGTTGTTAATTTACCCCTTCCCCCTTCTTGCCTGTAAAGTTGTGATGTGCACCATTTAGATACTTGATTGTTTTCCCACTGTTAACTCTCTTATGTTTCTTTTTCTCCATCCTGTCAACAGCAAGAGCAGGTATGTGAGAAACTTCCTCTCCCAACTCAGAGGGTGTTGCGTGATCTCTTGCTAACATAGTTAATAAATGCAATGTTTTGACAGATTCAAGGGACGGAGAATGGCTGTGGAAAGAATTATTTTTGAGTCTAAAATGAAATCTTGGCTATTCTGAAACAGATTGTGAGCCTGTTTGACCGTCTGACTTTGAAGCTAAAATTAATGCACAGAAAGCGCCACAAAGCCTGAAGATAATATAATGATCAAGATAGTACTAGGACTCGATTTGGGAATAGCTGTTGAACTTACTAAATAAACTTCTTTGGACCTTGCACCTGTCATGGTTTGGCTGGCAAATGCATGTTGCATGTGTTTATAATGCTGGCTGCAGTGTTATGTTTGCCATACTTAGGACACTGCCTTAATGAGGAAAACTTAGTGAAATGGGAAGAAGGGCATTTCTTGGCCTGCGTAGAGATGGTATTAAACTTTAGCATATTTGCTTTTGTATGTAAATGGTGTGGAAACATATCGTTAGTTATGGGAGAAAAGAATGGTTGAACTACTTCCTCAGATGGTCTGGAAACTCCTATATATAGCTATGATATGCCTTAGTAAGAAAGCTTCTGGGAAAAGTGCATGTTTTGGCCCTCTTTCACTAAACCAGTTACCTTCTTTTAGTAAAAGCTAAGTGCTGCATGTCTCTTTGTGTGTGTGCTTTTGAGTCAGTTTTTGATTCTTGGTGACTGCCTGGACTAGTCCTTGGAGGGTTTTTTGGCAAGATTTTTCCAAAATGGTTTGCCATTGCCTTCTTCCTAGGCCAAAGAGAGAGTGAGTGGCCCGAAGTTACCTAGCTGGCTTTGTGCCTAAGGCAGGACTTAGAACTCACAATCTCCCAGTTTCCAGCCTGGTGCTTTAACCACTGCACCAGAACTGTTTCACAGGTCTTTCATAAGTCCTATTTAATAAGCCTGTTCAGATATTGCAGTAAGCCACAGCTATGGAAGTAAAAACGTGCCAGGTAATGGCCCTACAAAGTCCCTGTTCATGTTACTTCTTTTATTAATAAAGAAATCATAGGAAGTTTCCACTGCAGTCAGATTACCTGTAGCTTTTCACTTGGTTCATACCTGACAAGCTAATTAGTTTGTGGGCAAAACTTGCTTCTTTCAACAATCACAGTTTGAGAGGCAAACATGACAGCAAACTGGTTACCCAAACAGAAACAAATGCTTCCAGTCTCTCCTCCTGGCTTCTCTGGAGGAGAAAAAAGGAGAGGGTAAATCACAGGAGCCAAAAGTTAGCTGTTATTCATTCCTGTGAGAAATGAGCAGGAAGGAGAATGAATTTCTAAACTACTCTGTTTCTGGAAGCGTGAGCCAACAAAAATGCTAAAATCTTGGAAAGAGTTAGTCCTTAGTCTTGGACTCAATTTCTATGGACTTTGGAGTACATAATGCACAAGCTTATTTATCTGTTTCTACAGCCACCCACTTGTACAAGACTCTGGGCGTTTTGAGGGTTAAAACCAGTGAAATGAACAGCTTATAACAACCATAAAGATGACCATACCAGTGGATAAAACCATGAAAATTCATAACAGACCATGTGGATACAATAGTGGTCTGGCCCATAAAGAGCCAGGTCTCAAGGATCCCTTGAGGGAAACATTTATTCCCGTTCACTTTCAAATGACAAGCTACTTCTACAGTTTTTCAATTTTGAGACCCGTGATCATAATGAACTAAACATAGCTTTAATTAAAGAACATTGTAGTTAAATTTCATTTTGGCTTGGTAGGAGAAGGTAGAAGGGGTTAAAATTATTCCTGCAAATGTTAAGCTAGCTGCAGAGAAGGGAATTCTTGGGACAGTCAACTACTTTATGAAGGATTAATGGGTATAAAGTCAAACCAATGAGCATTTTCTGGAAGGTAAAACTGGGCAGTTACAGGTATTTAATATTATGTGAACTCTTGAGATACGGATATACTGTAATATTTCTTTAGGACATGGATCATATTTTCCTTCAGAAGTGATCTGGAAGTCATAAAAATATATACATTTGAATATCTGGTTTAGATTGGCTGGGGTAGCCAGGGGCCCTGTGATGATGTTGCTGCATTGTTATTTGCAGCAGCCAGCCAGCCAGCCTGGCTTGCAGTGAGGAAAGTTGTAGAAACTGTAGTTCAGCATTTGAAGGGCCATTGTTTCCTCATCCCTAATCCAGATTATCCTCTTCTGTTACTGTAGGGTTATAAATTAGAGGCTGTTTTTAAACTGTTTAATGTGAAATACTAACTGAAAGGAAAACAGGATTTGTCTTTTGCGTGGCACTGAATGACAGCTAGAAATTGTCTTCTGTTCTATCCATGATAAAGCTTGAATTTAGTAAAAGAACTGCATATACAGTCAGGTCCAGAAATATTGGGACATCGACACAATTCTAACATCTTTGGCTCTATACACCACCTCTAATCTGGCCTTCCTGTTTTTGAGGCTCACCAATGGTTTACATCTTGTGGTGAACCCTCTGTATTCACTCTGGTGAAGTCTTCTTTTGATTGTTGACTTTGACACACATACACCTACCTCCTGGAGAGTGTTCTTGATCTGGCCAACTCTTGTGGAGGGTGTTTTCTTCACCAGGGAACGAATTCTTCGGTCATCCACCACAGTTGTTTTCCGTTGTCTCCCGGGTCTTTTGGTGTTGCTTTGCTCACCGGTGCGTTCCTTCTTTTGAGAATGTTCCAAACAGTTGTTTTGGCCACGCCTAATGTTCTTGCTATCTCTCTGAGAAGGGTGTTTTCTTCACCAGGGAACGAATTCTTCGGTCATCCACCACAGTTGTTTTCCGTTGTCTCCCGGGTCTTTTGGTGTTGCTTTGCTCACCGGTGCGTTCCTTCTTTTGAGAATGTTCCAAACAGTTGTTTTGGCCACGCCTAATGTTCTTGCTATCTCTCTGAGAAGGGTGTTTTCTTCACCAGGGAACGAATTCTTCGGTCATCCACCACAGTTGTTTTCCGTTGTCTCCCGGGTCTTTTGGTGTTGCTTTGCTCACCGGTGCGTTCCTTCTTTTGAGAATGTTCCAAACAGTTGTTTTGGCCACGCCTAATGTTCTTGCTATCTCTCTGAGAAGGGTGTTTTCTTCACCAGGGAACGAATTCTTCGGTCATCCACCACAGTTGTTTTCCGTTGTCTCCCGGGTCTTTTGGTGTTGCTTTGCTCACCGGTGCGTTCCTTCTTTTGAGAATGTTCCAAACAGTTGTTTTGGCCACGCCTAATGTTCTTGCTATCTCTCTGAGAAGGGTGTTTTCTTCACCAGGGAACGAATTCTTCGGTCATCCACCACAGTTGTTTTCCGTTGTCTCCCGGGTCTTTTGGTGTTGCTTTGCTCACCGGTGCGTTCCTTCTTTTGAGAATGTTCCAAACAGTTGTTTTGGCCACGCCTAATGTTCTTGCTATCTCTCTGAT